GGTTTAGGGTTTAGGGTTTAGGGTTTCGAGGCATTTCCCCCTAAACCCTCGGGGGCCCCCTGGGGCCCCTGGGGCCCCTGGGGTACAGAGGGCCCCTTCGGGCCCCCGGGGCCCCCTTGGGGCCCTTTAAGCCCATTTGGGGGCCCCCCAGCTCTTTTGGGGCCCCCCCAACTCATTTGGGGGCCCCCCAGATCATTTGGGGGCCCCCCAGATCGCTTAGGGGGCCCCGAGCACACTTGGGGGCCCCCCTGGAGTCTGATGGGGCTCTAGGGCTTCTCTAGGGGCCCCCAAACCCTCTCAAGGCCCTCATGGGGGCCCCCGGGTTCATTTGGGGGGCCCCCTGTGGGGCCCCCAGGGTTCACCGGAGGCCCCCACACCCACTTTGGGGGCCCCCGAAGGGGGCCCCCAAGCCCCTGGCAGCAGCAGCTGCATACAGCAAACTGCAACAATTAAACTCCTTTTCAAAAGGCTAGTGGGAGGCTTGAGTGACCCCTAGGGTTTAGGGTTTAGGGATTAGGGTTTAGGGGGCGCAGAGGGTTTTGCTTTACACAGTTTTGCAGCTGGTGAGCTGCTGCTACTGCAGCAGCTGCAGGTGCTGCTGCCCTTGCCACGCTGCAGCATGTGCTGCGCTGCTGCTGCCGCAGCAGCAGCAGCAGCAGCAGCAGCATTTGCTGCAACACTTGTATTTTGCAGCAGCAGCAGCTGCTGCTGGTGCTGCTGAGCTTACAACGCTGCTGCACCTGCTACTGCGGCTCAAGTTGCTGCAGCAGCACCAGCTGCTGTTCCAGAATCTGCTGCAGTTACCACTGCAGTTCCAGCTGCAGCAGCGGCAGCAGCTGCTACTGCAGCTGCTGCAGCGGCAGCAGCAGCAGCTGCTGCTGTTTTTCACTTCCTAAGGAGCAGTTTCGGAGGGCTTAATGAAGCGAAATTGCTGGAGTCGCTGAGCAGCAGATGCGGCGAAGTTTTCTGCTGCTGCTATTTCCCACTGCAGCTACTGAAACAGCAGCAGCAGCAGCTGCTCCAGCAGCAGCTGCAGCAGCACAGGTTACTATGTGACGCTGGGCCTTGAGGCTGTCCAGCTGGGCTTCAACACTTAGGAAGGGTTTAAATATTTAATTAAAAGAAATAAATAAAATGGTTTAAAAGTCTATTTTTGAAATTCAAGTTCTGCAGCTTGGAGTGTACAGACACCTGAGAACGTGCAGGCTGGGTCAGGCTCGCGCTGCTGCGCCACGCGGAGTCTCTGGGGGATTTGGACTTTTAGAGAAGCATTTAAACGTTTTAAAATGGTTTTAAAATTATAAATTATTTTTAAAATAGACAATTAAGAGTGGGGCCTGCAAAGAATCTCGAGAAACGCAGCAGCAGCAGCACCACCACCACCACCAGCGGGAGCCTCAAGCCCAGCCGACACCCCACAGCCCGCAGCCCCTGGCAGCAACAGCAGCAGCTCAGCACACACATTGGCACAATTAAATGCAAAGTACAGCAGATAAAAGCCTCTGAAGATGCTGTCGCAGCAGCAGCAGCAGCAGCAACAGCAACAGCAGCACCACTGCTCGATCGGCCGCCGCTCCCCGAGCGCGCACGCGCTGCTGCTGCCTTACTGGGGGATTTTTGGGGCTGAATCTATTTATTTTTAATTTGTGTTTGAACTATTTTAAATGTACATTAAGGGCTTCAACTGATTTGCTGCATGCCTTAGCAGCAAGTGCTGCTGCTGCTGCTGCTGCTGCTATGAGCGCTCCAGCTGGTGCTGGTGCATCGAGCGGCTGCTGCTGCAGGGATCTAGGCCCAACGTCTAAACTCTCAGCAGCAGCAGCTGCTTCATACTTAAGCTTTAGGCCTCCTTTTGCTGCATTTATGCCCTCCAGCAAGCCTTAACAAACCCTGCTGCTGCTGCTGCTGCTGCTGCTGCGGCTGCTGCTGCTGCTGCTGCGGCGGCGGCGAACGCTGCAGCAGCAACTGTCTCCAGGCGCAGACCCAGAGCGATGGCAACAGAGCCCCGAAATACGTCGAAACTCTCCCCAAACCTCTAAACCCTAAACCCTAAACCCTAAACCCTAGGCCCTATAACCCAAGCCCCTCGGGTGCAGCAAAAACTACTGAAGTCGCTCACCCGATCCCAGGCTGCGAGCCCCTGCTGCCGCCTTGTGTGGCCCTGCAGCAGCAGCAGCGGCAGCAGCAGCAGCAGCTGCTGCTGGAGTAGACACTAGTTTTTGCGCCCGTCCTTGTCTTCTGCTACTGCACCGATGCAACAGAGCAACGCGCAGCAAGGGCTGCTGCGGTCCCGCGGCAGCTTGCTGCTGCTGCTGCTGCTGCTCCTGCTGCTCCTGCTGCAGCCTGGCAGCTGCAGCGAAGACCCCGCAGAGGAGAGCGATCTTCTCGCAGCTGCCCCTGACGAGCTGGAGCGCAGCAAGCGGTCCTCGAGGGAAGCTGCTGCTGCAGCAGCAGCAGCAGCAGCAGCAGCAGCAGCAGTGACGCGGCGCGGGCTGCGGATGTCGCGGCGGCGGCGGCAGCAGCAGCGGCAGCAGCGGCAGCAGCGGCAGCAGCGGCAGCAGCGGCAGCAGCAGCAGCTGGAAGAGCTGGAGGACCCGCTGGGGGCCCGGGTGGACTTGCTGCAGCTGCTGTGGGACCCGCTGACAGACACGGCGGAGCAGCAGCAGCTGTTCAGCAGCAGCGCAGCAGCAGAAGGCCCCGTGCTGCTGGAGCCGCAGCAGCAGCCCTTCATCCAGGGCCTCAGCTTAACTTGGCAAGAAGCAGCAGCAGCAAATAAGGAGCTGCTGTCCCGCTTTTCCCCCATGCAGGCCCCCGAGTTCCCCACCCCCGCAGTCCCTGCTGCTGCCCAGCAGCAGCAGCAGCAGCAGCAGCAGCAGCTGCCCCTGGGGCTCCTAGGCCGTCAAGACCCCAGCACTCCTTACTACTGGGTCCCCATGGCCCAGCGCCAGGCCCCAAGTTGGTGGCGAACACCTCTTTCCCGGGGGCCCCCCGGGGCCCCCCAG